GTGAAAGTGCTATAGATAGAGTTGTTGGAAGTTCACGAGCCGCTGCAAGGACCAGCTCACGAGGAAGTCGTAAAAAACAATCATTGCAGACAACTCTAACAGATACGATGGATGGTTTTCGAGAATTTCAACGCCAAAGTTTACAACAACTGCGTCCAGATTTTTTCGATCAAGATAATTATGATGAATGCGAAAGGGCTGTGAAGATATTTGAATCGATGGAAGTTCCAAAGAATACTAACTTTTACTGGGCATGCATTCAAGCATTCAGAGACGATAGATTTTGGCGAAAGTATTTTATTGATAGAGCTGATTTTGATTTTCCTTTACCTCCACCCGATAAGTATTATCTCGTTGACTCTGGATATCCAAACAAACGAGGTTTTTTGGCTCCCTATAGGTCTTCACGAAATGGGGTTGTTAGGTATCATATGTCACAGTTTGAAAGTGGTCCTCCTCCAAGAAACAAACAAGAGTTATTTAATCGGTATCATGCATCTTTGCGATCTGTTATCGAGAGGACGTTTGGAGTTTGGAAAAAAAAATGGAGGATTCTTTGTGACTTCCCGAGATATGATATGCATGTTCAGAAAAGAGTTGTAACAGCGACAATGGGATTACATAATTTCATTAGAGTTTCAAATTTTTCTGATGAAGATTTTGCTAATACAGTGACACCTACAGAGATTGTCAACGCTACCTCTATGACTGAACAAAATGATATGGAAGAAGCAGAAATGGGTCAAGCAAATTTTATGGCAAACATTAGAGAAATTATTGCAAATACATTATGGGCAAACAAAAATGCTCAATGTTAATGTTTTTCAATTTTATTGTACGTTGTAATTGTATTTGTTTGAATGTTCAATTGTTTTGGTATTGTTAAAATAATAATAATTATTCTTTATATATAAGTATTTATAATTTATTTTAAATATTTAACTTAATAAATTTAATTTTTAACTTTCGGTTAAACAAGTATTTGGATAAATTATCCTAACCGAATTTTTTGGGGTCTATTTCCGGTCGAGTCTTCGGATTTGGGTAACATTTCTAGGTCTAAACTATAAGTACAAATTAAAATTTCAACAATTTGGAATAAAAAATTCCCCTTAGTTTTAGACAATTTACATAATTGTATTTAATGATTATAATATTGATAAAAAAGTATATAAATTAATTATATAATTATATAATTAAATTTATATTTTAAATAATTAAAAATAAAAGAAAAATCTTGATTGAATTAGATTAATCGGTGTGACAATTGACTCAATAACCATGCCGAATCATCATATCCGGTTTTAAAAATATTATTTTTATATAATATGTTGATCTGCATTTGATCTGCATTATATATTGATCTGCATTTGTTCTGCATGATCTGCATTTTCTGTTTGATCTGCGTTTTTTTGATCTGCATACCATTCGAAGCCGTA